TGAACTTAATGGATCAAGTGAGTCATTAGCATATGCCCATAACGCGTTGAGCAACTTTCCTCGTGTTGACCGAAAACATAACTCCGACGTCAAGAGATAGATTCCATGAGTGGAGCTTTCGATTCCGCCGTCGAAGCATTGTAAATTTATGATCCCAGATTTTAAAGGCGAAAACGTACGGTGTAAACAAAGAAAAAACACCTCTTACTTTACACCGATACTGTGGCAATGTAAGAAAGAAATCTCACACCTGGTAGAACAGCATTATTGCACCACTCCTTTGCTTCTAGATTCCGTTACAATTTGGGATCATTATCACTATTACATAACCGCTTCTCCTTTCGGATCGCGGAGGCAGACACGTCAGAGAGTTGCTTCAAAGTTCACGATCTCATGCCAGAATCTGAGCTTCGGCAAAATATAACTGGAATCTGGAACAGACTCATTCTCCACATATTTGCACCAGGTTAATCTTGGCCGTCCCCTGGGCCTTCTGCAGGTCGGTTTAGCAAGAAACAGTTGTTTAGCCTTCGTTTCTGGAGGCAAACACATGCCCAAACCATCGCAGCTGTAACCTCTCAAATTGAAGAAGCAGCGGCTGTACACCATGGCCTTTGCGGAATTCTGTACTCCGGACCATGTCGAGACGCGTAACGCCAGAAAATCTTATAAACCCCATTTCATCCGTTTGTACCCAGAATTGCAGCGTTTCAGTCATGGTCCACTACTCATGACCGTAGGTAAGTATGGCAATGAAAATCGACTTGAACACCGAGAGCTAAGTCTTCAGGTTCAGCCCTGCTTTAGTCACAATGGTCGGGGCTAATTCACGCAGAAAGCCACCGGCTACTTCAATCCACCGGTCGATCTCCAATTTTCCACCGTCAGTAAATACTACCCTGCGGTACTTAAACATTTCCACCTGCTCCATTTATCTAAAGAGAGCAAAGAGGAGGAGAAAATCCGGGATCATAAATTTTATTATGTATCAACAGAGTAACCCATAACATCTGGGTTATGTTTTAGATTTGTATTCGCCTACGGATCGTGGCGTTTGGGATTTAAAGTTCTCTTGCTCAGCAAAATTAAGAGAAGCAGTTTTGTGTCTTTCGCACTGCAGGAACTTAAACCGTAGCCTGCTTAAATGGTCTCCACTAATAAGCAAGGGGCGTCTACAATGATGCTGTACTGCCACAGGTGAGATGATTTCCATCTGTATTACACTACTACAGTATCGGTACAAAATAAGATACGTATTTTTCTGCATTTACACCGTAACTTTCTTTTATGATTTCGGGATCATAAAATCTGATATTATTTTTCCGTTCTGCTTCACACGAAGAGGATTATTAAGAAATTTGGCAAACGGTGAAATAAAATACCATAGCTGGATCTGTGAGAACAACAAATATATTGTAGCTGTCAAAAAACTAGATGCAACAGTAAAAGTCTTGAAAAGAACACAGATCCTGAATCACAACAATGCTTCAGTAACTCTTTACAAAAAAACCACATGTGCCTTGCTTCGCTATGATCATTGTTGTTATACGGGAGAGACAGTTGTTTTAGTGAATGTGAAAAAAGGACGGTTGATCTGCGTGCAGCAGCGTTGGTGTCGAAGCATAATGAAGGTGAAATTGCAGAACCACGTAAAGAATGACTTTAACCTTTTTCGGACACAGGTGACTTCAGTATATGTGGAGCTTAACAAAAGAATTTTACTCCTGTTAGACAAATTGGGTGAACACACGTCATTCACTCGAGCCTTTGAGCTTCTCATCTGAGTTCGGAAGCAAAGCAGACATCAGTCACGAGGTCAACATGCAATATAGAGGAATATGGGAGAGAAGGATTATCGGAGATGAATATGTGATGCAGTAGGGGGCACCTTAAAGGAAAATCGTTGAAAAGTTGCGGATAGCGCAGCTGCCATAAACCAGAGAAGTACTGCTTATGATAACGACCCAAGAAGATGATCTGAACGAACAACCTCAAG